CCTTCAAAACAACCTGCAACTCACGCAGCTGCACATCTCTGGTCTCACTGCGCCCCCTGCTGCACAGAAACAGAACTGTAGGTTGATCTGTGGCGCCATCTGGTGGTCAACTGCAGGAACTGATGTGTTGCTTGATTTAAAATAAAGAAACAAAACCATCATTTTGAAAATGTGCAACATTTTCTCTTTTGTTGCACATTTTCTCAAAGTAAGATTTTGTCATTTTGCTGCATAATGTCCCTTCAGTTGCTTTTTTATTTGGTCTTTATAGAGTTTGATAAAATATGTTAGTTGTGAAAATAAAAATAAAGGTTTAGATTGTTTTATTTTTATAATTTCTAATAATAATAATGAAAAAGATAATATTTTTCCTAAATAACTTCTAAATTGATAGTTTAGGTGAAAAGTTAATCAGACTAATTTATTAAAATATTTTGTTGTTTCCCAGTCATCATGTTTCCTTCATATTTCCTTCATCTTTTCATCATGTTTCCTTCATGTTTCCTTCACTTTTTTATCATGTTTTCATCAACTGCTGCAGCCTCTGGTGAGTCGTTCTCTTTTCTGCTTTTAGGGGAAAAACTGAACTTCATCACGAGATGCAGCTTCATTACATCATGAAAAGATGACTCAGCAGCTGACAGCAAAGAATCTCCCCAAACAACGATGTGATGAATCATGATGCTGCATGGAAACACACACACACACACACACACACACACACACACACACACACACACACACACACACACACACACACACACACACACACACACACACACACACACACACTTCCCGGAAACAGTGAGGAGGAGAAGGAGGAGATGCTCGTACATCCCTGACTTCCTGGCAGTCAGACCCTCAGGAGACGCTGCGCACCACTTCCACAGAGCAAGCTGATTGGCTGCTGGGGAGCCTGAGCTGAGGGCCAATCAGAGAGGAGCTTCTTGGCCCATCAGGCGATGAGAAGGATGGAGACTTCCCGTTACAGATGTGAGGCAGCAGGATAGCGTCTGTTTGTGTTGGTTTAAATGTGGGAGATAAAGAGTTGGTTGAGTTATCGACCTGCGGCTCGGACATCACGCTCCCCATGAAAGCTGATTTTTATCCTGATGCAAACCTGACAAACAACAAGTTAGCAGAACATAAATATCTGGATGACTTGCTGTCCAAACAGTGGAAAGTCCTGCAGAGCTACATGCAGCATGTCAGCTTTAAATAAACAACTGACTCAGACACAAAGGATCTGAAGACGGTTTGATGTCGGGGTGAGTTCTCAGATCCTCACCTGCAAATAAATGAGAACGTCACTGAGATCCAGAAAACTGTCCCTCTTGTCCCTCAATGGCTGCGTTTCGATCACAAATGTTTCTAAAACTTTGTTGGTATTTTGCTCATGTTGAAAAAACACTATTTTGCAATTGCAGTTTTTCCATTAAATAAGAAACGTGATTAAGTTTTTTCACACTCTAAATCATTACAAAATATGAAGCATGATCCTACATCTACTTCCTGTAGTCTTCTTTGTCGCTTCCGCCAGTAGTAACATCCAGTGGTTTATCATGTGACTTGTGTGATACGAAAAAGAGTTTAATTGTAGTTTTTCTGAAATGAAACAATTTCAACACAATCAACAGGCAAAACTAAAACGTTTTTTATTTTTCAAAATTGCTGTATTTCCAATAAGCAAATTTATTTTCAAAATCTCAAAATGTGCAATTATATGTGCAAAGGAATGATGTGAAAATCTATCTTATTTCTTCTATTATTAGTTTTTGTCAGTCTTTATGTTTCAGATTATCAAACAGAAACACATATCAGCCAAAAATAACCCAAATAAATACAAAATGTAATTATTAAATGACGATTTGGAAAGACAAACCTTGATGGGTTGATGACGCCACTTTCAAAGCGTTTAGCTCACTTAGCTTCCCTTAAATTAAATATTGCACATAAGTTCCAACTTGCTAATTTACTCTTTTGCACATTTTCAATAGAATAAAGTTCAGCATTGAGCTGAGTTAGCAACACTCGACAGCAGGTATAAAACTGAAACTGTTTCAGTGAAAGGTCTGTTCTCTATGATCACTTCCTGAACGCTAATAGCATCTAAATGTGAAACAACTGCTAATAAATTGTTAGAGGATGATTTATTACTCTTCACCACAACATAGTAAGTCATTGAAGTTAGCACGTTAGCATTAGCTTCTACCAAACACTATGTTGGTGTAGCGTGTTAGCAGAGCTAATGTTCAGTGCTCTAGCGTTAGCAGAACTAGCTTTTTAGCTAGCCAGCCGAGGGATTAGCATGTGAACATTTTCTATCCAGTAACTGAATATTTTTCCTCCAGAACAAAATTAGAGTGAGAAGAAACACCTGCTAATTTCAGGATTCCTCTGCAGAGGAAATTTATCAGATTCTATTTATTTATGATGATTATAAATATTAAAAACACCATCTAGTATAAAAACAAAAACTGCTCCAGTTTTAACTGGGTTGCTGTGTTTAAGGCCCTGCCTGCAGGATGACGTCTCCTCCATGTGACTCAGTCTGTTGACCTTGGACACCGTCTCTCTTTGTTGTCCAAGATGTGTTTGAGTTCAGCGTTCAGGGCGGCCGTCTGAACACAAACAGGGACAAACATGAATCACTTCTGACTCCCACTCAGGCTGTCAGACCCTGGTTCATACCTGCAGCGGTTTATCTGCAGGTTGGATCCATTAACTTCCTGTTTGGTGAGCAGGCAGGTCATTCGGGTCATTTGGACCGAACAGGGACACAGGGTTTATTCTGATCTGTGAACAGATTTCCTGCACATCTTCCTGCTTATCAACAGATTGTTCTGTTCCTACAAACTCCAGCACTAAGAAACCTGTTTTATTTCAAAATATATGGAGCTAAATTGGGGCCAAAAAGTTTGTTCAAAAGAACAAACGATGAAACTGAATTTTTTTTTTTACAAAACTCAAGAAAAAAATTCTAATCTACTTTTCAGATTTAAGGATTTTTTTTTCAGTTTCACTTTATTTCTTTTGAACAAACTTTATGGCCCCAATTTGGCTCTAAAAAAACAATAAAAATTAGATAAAAAAAGTTAGATTAGTTCTGGAACAGCATAATTAATGAAGTCTTGATCCATATGGCCATCATGTCTTTACCAAACATTAAGTCAAAATGGACATTTTGTTTACCTTAATATCCGATGAGTAAGCAGCAAACAGACTCAAACCGCCTCCCTATAAATGAATGATCCAGAATCAGATGAAAGATATTGTGTTTTGCAGGTTTATCCTCATTCGTTCAGAAGGAAAACTGTTTATAATTTTTTTTATTCATGGTATCTGTTACATTTTATGTTCCTATTGAAAAATAAACCAGAAAAAAGGGAACAAGAAATATTTAATTTTCTAAGTTTTTCTGCAAATCCAACATTTATAAAAAATTAATTCTACAGAAATAAAGTCTTTCAAACATCCATTTGTCTGTGATGGTAAATGAAGATAAAGTTCCTGAAATAAATAGACTTTTAAATAATATCCTAATTTATTGAAAGGTTCTTATGAACAGGATCAGAATTCAAATTAAAGCTACATATATTATGTCTAGTTTCCCTCACTCTCAATGAAAGGTTTGAGAAATTTGCATAAAAGTAGCAAAAGTTGAGAAAGCCTGGAAAACTGCTGACTGAGTTGTAGTTCCAAAAATTGTCCAGAAGATGGCAGCAAACTGGTGTGAAACTTTGAATTTAATAATGGTCATAATGGGGAAACATATCAACTATGATGTATCAAGTTTAAACATAAAGATCAGAGAAAATACAAAACCTGCCCAGAAAATCAGTAAGAAAAGCCCAGAATAAAATACAATAAATTAAGATATTCAGAAGTTCAGTCCAGTTCCTGGAACTATTTGAAGCCAATTGGCTGAACAAAAACTGGACATTGTGCTGCTAACACTTAGCTTTGGTCAAGTGAGAGAATGTAGCAACCCGACCAGAACCTGGTCCGTTAAATAATGAAATGTAACTTAATGAAGCTTCCAGGAAGATCAATTTTCCTCCAGGAATTTTAATAATCGAATCACTGGAGGAATCGTTTCGGCCCTCGTTCCATTGTTCTGATGGCTCTGCTGTTCTGTTCTTTATTTTTCTGCTTTAAATTTAGTCACTGATATTTCAGTTTGTTTTTCTTTCCATCAATGTTTGGATTTTGGGGCATTGATCATTGACTTTGATCAATAAATGCTTCATGCTTTGCTGCTTTTAAGCTGTTATTCTTATGATTCTGTTATGTTCGTTCAAGTCCGTCGGTCCAGAACCAATGAATTCAGCTTTGTTGATGCATCCATCTCTTGTCCCTCCAGGCACCCGGCGTCACTTTGGACCCCAGATCTACAGTCAGAGGTTCAGTCAGCGCCAAGGAAAGTGAATGGTTCCCTCACATTGGCTGCTTTGCGATGCCAGCCAAGATTTCTGAGAGGATTTGAGTTTTCTGTGTTTATTTAGGTTTCTGAGTCAGTTGAGTCTGTGTTGTCCTGTCTAGCTGTTGAGTGATTCCAGCTGTGTCCCATTTCCTTGATTACTTTCTCCTGTAGTTAATCCCACCTGTGGCTGTTTGGTCTGAAGTCGACTCTATTGTCAGTGTCTATTGTGTGTTATTTTTCATTAAACCATCATTTATTCTTCATATCTGGGTCCATCGCAGTCTATGACCTGGAGGCAGTCTATTACCCAGGGGCGGTCTATTAACCGGGGACAGTCTATGACCTGGAGGCAGTTTTTTTTTCTCATGTGACAGAACACAGGACGAGGTTTTAAGAGACCAAAGTTTCTTCAAAAAACCTGAGAACATGAGGAGAGGAAGTTTCCCGGAGCGCTTCCCGTCGATGCTCAGGCTCATGTCCCGCTTCTTCTCCAGCGCCAGCAGCTCCTGCTGCATAAGACTTCAAAATAAGAGCATGACTATTAGAAACCCTGAGAGCGGATAACCAAAACTTCAAC